TCCACAAGTCTTAAAAGTTGCCAAGGTTGGAGACCCCTGATTTAAATCATCAATTTCAGTTTTATCCCCAATAGCCAATATTCTATTGCCATAAAACAGGAAGAACGGGTAAGCATTAGGTTGGGAGATCAATTCTAGGTAGCGACAAATGTTTCTTTCCTGCTGGGCAGAGAAAAAATATTTGCTGTGAACTCCACATGGTGTCAGGAAGGGAATCTGTCCAGTCAATGCTCAGCTCCATCCACACTGCCTCAAACAGGGATTAAAGGGTTGTAAAAAAAGGAGTTGATCCTGAAAGTGGGAAAATAAAACAGGACCTAAGTTTGCACCAAACCCCACTTTGTATGATGGTTTAGTAAGATTCGGACATGTTCCTGCAAAACCTTGCACGGAACAATACAAAAAAGATAAAAAGGGAATTTTAATTTTTGTTGAATGTGCTTCATCTAGTGTTTATTTCCTTTTATCAACATGCACAAATACTAACAACAGAGATATTAATACTGTATTAAGTAATTAGTTTAAGACTAAAATTATAATTACATAACTAACACTTTGATATGAATTACATCCTTTTTTTAACCTTAGACTGCACTTAGTTTTGGATAAAAAAATAAACAATCTTATGCTTGGAACAATGACATCCTAAATGGCAATTAATATTGAAAAGAACTTTTACTTTTCTCTTTTTATTTCCAACACTTTGAGCTTTTTAAATAATGGCATGTTAATTGTTTTAAATCATGTTATACAGATTTTATTGCAATGAAATAGCACAATGCATGATGATGTACAACATTACAACAAAAGGAAAACAACAGAAAAAAAGAGAATTATCAATATGAGTGCACTTTCTGCAATTGCTTTTAATCATACGCATGCTGTATGTGGAAAATATAGAATTAAAAGGACATACAAACTTAAATACAGGATGCATCTAAAAACAAGGAAGAGGTTCAGTGCGTTTAGTTATATGCTCATTTACAGGGCTGCCTATCTGATATTTTGATTCTAGGCAACTCACAATTATCTGTTCTGCAATTATGAATGCCATCTTGACTTTTTTAATGCCATCCTCCCCAGAACCCTATGTGAGTGTGCAATGGTCTGTGCAAAATGTGATTTGACAAAAACGAGAAAAGAGAGGATTTTAATGCCTCAGTCCTGTGGTGCGATTCAACTGGTGTAACAACCAGTTCGGTGAGCATGCGTTTTGTGCACGCAATCTACGTTTAAAAAAGCCCATTTTCAACGGAATTACTTACCTTCTGCTGCAGTGCCGGTGTCTGAAACAGCTGAGGCGTGGCAAAACCGCTCTGCCATGCAAATCAGCTGTGCTAAAAAACCAGGAAATAAAACACAGGAAAGAATGGGGGGGGGGGGAAACACTCACTGGAACTACCGGTTCACTCGAACCAGTCCGAACCAGTAGATCCCACCCCTGCCTCAGTCCCAATTCAGAATCAAGTAGCTCCTGCTTTTGGCGTTAAGGAGACATCTCCCTTGACCTTTTAATGACCAAGGTGCACACAGTCCCAAAAGGTAATAGAGTCAGCAGAAAAACCAAATTGGATTTCGTTTCCTCTTAAATTGGCGCTGCAAATAATATTTTTAATAGGATGGCCACCCAGAGCATTGATCATTCTCACTCCCATTCCATCAAAAGCCACCACTTAGCAGCAATTTTTTAATGGGCCTGTGGAGAGTATATAGGTAGTCCTCGACTTACAACCATTCGTTTAGTGGCCAAAGTTTCAACAGCACCGAAAAAAGGGCCTTATGACCACTTTTCACACTTATGACCGTTATGGTGACCATTATGGTCATGTGAACAAAATTCAGTTGCTTGGCAACTGGCCTGTGCTTATGATGGTTGCAGTGTCCCAGGGTCACATGATGATCCTCTTTTGCGGCCTTCTGACAAGCCAAGTCAATGGGAAAGCCAAATTCGCTTAAGAACCGTGTGTTGACAACTGCAGTGATTCACTTAACAACCGTGGCAAGAAAATGGGGCAAAATTCACTGAACTCCTGTCTTGCTTAGCAATGGAAGTGTGGGGCCAAAAATGGAATTATCGTGTTCATAAGTCAAAGGCTATTTGTACACTCAAATCAGAAGATCTCAAGATTCCTTCACAACTCTGGTTGTGTTGAAACTGAAAGAAGAAGGTCTATGAAGATTCCCAGTCATCCAGGTCATGGTTGTCCCAAAGGTGCTTCTTTAAGAGGCAGCTGGACTTTCTGGTTATTCTTTGAAGATGTTTTACTTCTCTGAAGAAGCTGAAGAAGCTTCTTGGACGAGAAGTGAAATGTCTTCAAAGAATAACAAGAAAGCCCAGCTGCCTCTTGAAAAAAAAAAAAAGCACCTTTGGGACAACTGAAAGAAAACGATTCTCCCGAATCAGAAGGGCTAATGTTAAATCTGCAAAAGACAAAGAACAAAAAAACCAGACGGCTTTTCTCCAGTGGGACTCAAATCGGTTTGCTATGTTCGTGGGTAGGTGTCTTGACTGAAGGTCTTAATGGTGAATTCCCAATAAGATGCACAACCTACCTAAGATACAGGAACCTCTCCTTAGGTGAGGGAGAGAAGGAATAAAGTCACTTGCCTGAAAGCGGGATCACCATGACATTGACGCATGATGGCTCTGTGGCGGCTTAAGAAGGAAAGACATTGTTTTTGCGGGAGGTAAAAGAGACAGATAGTCATTTAAAGCATAGCTGGGAGTTAAAACAGAGTCAGTATCATGGGATCAGAAGCTAACGATGGGTTGGCCGGATTGTTCTGTTGCAGCTGAAAATCAGATGTTGGGAAAGTTATGGGAAGACACCAAAGAACAAGATTATCAGTAGAAGTTGAAGACACTAAGGTCAGACCAGATAAAAGTACTGTATTTACCAGACTATAAGCCGCTACTTTTGCCCCACGCTTTGAACCCTGCGGCTTGTACAACAATGCAGCTTATCTATAGATTTTTCTTCGCTAACTGCCATCAAGGAGCGCAAAAACGTGACAGACGTAAGAGGTCAATGCAAAGAAGAAGACGCTGCCGGTAGTTTTTGGCGCACTCGACGCAAGCAGCGCGACATGCACGAACGCAAAATATTTTTCACACCCTCATCATGGAAAGGACACGAAGAAAAGCATATGATGCAGCTTTTAAGTTGAAAGCAATCGATCTGCAATCCAGGAAGGAAATAAGAGCTGCTGCACGTAAGCTTGGCATTAATGAATCAATGGTGAGATGTTGGAGACGTCTGGCCGCATGCGAAGAGCATTCTTCTCTTTCTGTGTAAATATCTCATTTCACAACGTATATATCTGCGGCTTATAGTCTGGTGCGGCTAATATATGTAAAAATATTTTTTTCTTTTAAAATTTAGTGGATGCGGCTTGCATTCCGATGTGCTCTATAGTCCGGAAAATACGGTAATCTTTGCTTGACAACTGAATGTACACTTTGATAATCATAGGTCAGTTGTCCAATTGCGGAAGACTGTTATCTACACAGAACCCGCTCCTGGAGATATCTGGGATGCAAGAGGCTTTGTCAATGATAACAGAAAGAGGCTGGTAAGCGTTTCAGATCAAGAGAGAAGATACATAGGGAGAGACAAGAGAAGAGCATCTTCTGTCAGGCTTCCCATGTGAACCAGATAGGAAATTAGACAGAACACAGGTAGTCTTTGACTTACAACCATTTGTTCAAAGTTACAACGGCACTGAAAAAAAGTGATCTATGACCATTTTTCACACAACCATTGTAGCAACCCCATGGTCACATAATCAAAATTCAGATACTTGGCAACTGGCTGATATTTATGAGAGATGCAGTATCATGTAGGGTCATGTGATTACTTTCTGTGATCTTTTGACCAGCCAAGTCAACGGGGAAGCCAGATTCACGTAACAAACACGTTAGTAACGTAACTGCAGGCGATTCACTTAACGACCGTAGTAAGCAAGGTCATCAAATGGGGCAAAACTCACTGAACAACTCTCTCGCTTAGCAACAAAAGTTTTGGGCTCCATTGTGGTCGCAGGTGGAGGGCTATCTGTAGAATCTTGTACATGTGGTACAAAGTATGATTGGTCTGCTGTCACCTTTACAGCTTGATAACTTAGGGGGAGAAACCCACAGGAGCTGCTTGCCCGATCACTATAAAGCTGTGGACCCCGTTCCCTCTTTATCTAGGGAGAACTTCTTCGTCAGCTCCTTCCCACATGCCATTACATTTTCTTAAAAGGCAAAATCGATCTAAGCCATGGAATGCCCACCTGGATCAGCAAGAGATCGTGGAGAATGGTGTCTTCGCTGCTCCCTGGGTGAGGAATGAGTTGACGGATTCCATACAGACGCTTGTTCGGTTCGGTTTCTGAGAGCGAATGGGCTCCCAAGAGGATCTGTAGCGTCCCGTTTTTCCTGCACCAGAGATTGTGGTTAGTCTGAATAATCAGGACCCCCTATGTCAACAGGTCTCTAGCATGCCTCCTTCTCCTACAACCCTTTGGAGAATGGTGTCTTCCATCATTTTTAGGTTGATGCATGGTCTAATTTTTTAATTGTTCTAATTGTCAGGAAAGTTCTCCTTAGTTCTAGGTTGTTTCTCTCCTTGATTATTTTCATTGTTTCTTGTTCAATAAATGTGGAAACATAAAGAGTTAAAACCTCAGTGGAATCTTTTCAGCTCTGTTCATGTTTTGCTTGTGATTCTAAACGTAATCAAATTTCAATTGAAGGACTTAATACTCTCTGAGCTTGGTTGTTTTCTTACAGACATTTCATTACGTAAACTAACTAGGTAACATCCTCGGTGCTAGTGATGACTCAACCAAGGACCATTCATTTCAACTCTACAAAGAGAGCTATAAATATTCTCTTTTATTAGAATTACAGTTGATCACGAAGGAAAGTCAAATTAAAAATAAATGGATTTTAAAAAGCGAGAGATCTAAGAAGACTGAGTCAAAACTAAGTATGACAACTTCTTGGAATTGGTTTTCATATCAGCGTATGATTATAGCCCGGTGGCGGCTAACCTTTTTAGGCTCTTGTGCCAAAAATTGTGTGCGTGCTCACATGCCAGCACCCAAAAGGCAATGTGTGCCCCCCCACGCCTCCTGCACATGCGCGCACGGTCCCCTTGCCCCTCACCCCCTTACTTGCACTGCCCCTCACAGCTGATTTTCAGCTGGTTTGAGGCCTTTTTTGACCTCCCAGAGGCTTGAAAAAAGCCTCTGCAGGCCGAATAGGCCCGTTTCGTCACTTCTGGTATTACAGGAATTGACAAAATGGGCTATTTGGCCTGCAAAAATGGCCTCAAACCAGCCAAAAATCAGCTGTGAGGCGCTTGCATGCGCAGTGAGGTAATTCTGCCTGCAGCTTGTGTTCCAGCACAAATGGCTCTGTGTGCCACCTGTGGCATGTGTGCCATAGGTTCACTATCACGGATATAGCTTGTTAATGAGATAAAAAGTTAATCAAAGGAAACTTATGAGTCAACCAACCAACTACATATGAGGTTGGCTAAGTTTGCACTGTGGGGCTTGTTTAAATAGACAGTTTTGCTGAATATACTACGTACAGAGTGGCTGTGTTTGTGTAACTGTATTTGCCCTCTGAAACAACAAGTCATCCCTTGATAACAGTCTTCCAACTGACTGATTCAGAGGGCAAACATAGTTATGCAAACACAGCCACTCTGTATCTTCCAATATTTGAGGGGCTGCCCCACAGAGGAGTGGGTGTTGACCTCCAAAACACCTGAAGTTTGGACAAGAAATAATGGGTGGAAACTTATCAAAGAGAGATCCAACCTAAAATTAAGGAGAAATTTCCTGACAATGAGAACAATTAATCAGTGGAACAACTTGCCTCTAGATAGAAGTTGTGGGTGCTCCATCACAAGGTTTTTAAGAAGAGAGTTGGGCAGCCATTTGTCTGGAATGGTATAGGGTCTCCTGCTTATTATAAGAATATAGCTGTTCAAACTTTAAACATCACCCCAGAAGGGAGGGAGGGAAGAGAAGGAAGGAAGAGGAGGAGGGAGGGAGGGAGGGAGGGGGAAGGGGAAGGAGGGATAAGGGAAAGGGACTGTGTCCATGTCTAAAAACCAGCAAGATATTACCTAATAATGAATTTGGAGATGTTTGTATCTTCCAACATGCATCTTCTTTTTTTCTTTTTATAGTTTCCTCCTCTCTGAACAACTGCCAATAATTAAGGCAGCAGATACCACCAAATGGTTGCCTTTTTGTAGGCAAAGGAGTGAATTTCTGTGGTGGATTACATCTGTCTGCCTGCTAATTTCTGAACATTCAAGCTGGTCTAAAGCACAAGAGGAGGCAGGGCCGGTTATATGGAAGTAAACTGCTCCAAACTTGTTTGCAGAAAATACGACTTCAGCAACAGAGTGGTCAATGCCTGGAACGCCCTACAGGCTCAACCCCTCACAGCTTCAACCTCAAACTGTCTGCCGTGGATCTCACCCCATTCCTAAGAGGTCCTTAAAGGGGGCGTGTGTAAACGCACCAGCGTGGCTACTGTCCCTGTCTTACGGTCCCCATTTATCTCTATTTACTCCTTTGTTCTGGTTCCTGTTCATACACTTGTTACCTTGTACATGTTTGACAAACAAACCAACAAATAAATATTCCTGACTGGTGGACCGATTCCTTGCTGTTACCCAAAGTGGAAAATGAGCTTTGCATCTTCAGTCACCAGAGGAGAAACCTCACACTCACGTTTCCTCCAAGCAATGGGCTGCGCTGAGCACCCACTGAGCGGTGATCAGGAACCCGCCGCAGAGATGCTTCCCGTCCTCCTGCAGAGATGCCATGTAAGGCCTGTGATGTGGGGCACTCTCTGATCCCCCCAGGATACGGCCCCTGGGACGATTTGCTGGGAGGGAGAAAATGCTGTGTTTTAACCTGCATCCTGGAAAACCACTTTACTTCTGCCCTAAACCCAGACAGGAACATGCATAGGGCCGCATTTCAATATGTAATTGAACAGGCTGGTGGGAAAGGAATACGGAATTCAAAATCCCCGTGGCTACCAATCTGTGGTGAAGGAGGACATGAAAATACTGCAGGATTGGATCAAACACCCCTTTTTATTGCCCCTTATGCTGGTCCAATTAGACCTGCAATTAATTGGCTTTTTTTTCCTGGAAATAAAGTGGGGGGGGGGAGATAATCATCTCTCTTTTGGAGTAGAAAAAAGCCATCAAATTAGAACTAAATTCACCCTGGCTTTTTAAAAAAATCACATCAATCTGCCTAATGTGGAGATGGCCTTGTTTTTGCAGGCCCTGGAGAACTCTCCCAGCACTGTGTTGGAAAAACAGTTTTTTTTTCCTGCCTTGTTGACAAAAATAAACACATGAAAACAGTGATGCAGTCCCTAAAATGGGCTGAAAAGTAGTTTTTTAAAAGCCCATTCGTCTAGGGAAAAATGACGTTTTTAGCTGCATGAAAAAGGCCCATCAATTTTGCAGAATGTATGTCCCCTTTATTCTGGCCTTCACTTTCATAATGTGTATATATACATATACATATACATACACACACACATACACATATACACATCTAATGCTGTTTTTTGCCCTAAATCAGAAGTGGTATTCAGCAGGTTCTGACCAGTTCTGGAGAACCGGTGGCAGAAATTTTGAGTAGTTCGGAGAACTGACAAATACCACCTCTGACTGGAGATTTTACAGTATCCCTCCCCTGCCACGCCCACCAAGCCACGCCCACAGAACCGGTAGTTTAAAAAAAATTGAATCCCATCACTGATATAAATATGTATATATAAAAGAGTCACTACCCCCATATGTTGATGAAAGTATAAGGGTGTGTACTGCTCTTTGCCCACTAAATACTACCACCTCTATTTAGAGATAGACTACCTCCATCCATGGAGGTTCCATTTCTTGGCTGATAGTACAAATTGCTAGAGAAATTCCTCCATGAATTTGGAAAATTTTGTACAACTATATCATAGGTTGTGTAATCAAATGATGGGTTGTTGTTGTTAGTTGTGAAGTTGTGTCTGACCCATCACAACCCCACGGACAACGTTCCTCCAAGCCTTCCTGTCCTCTACGATCTTCTGGAGTCCATTTAATCTCACACCTACTGCTTCAGTGACTCTGTCATGCCCCTGGTGGAGACTGACTCTGAGGGGGAGGAGGAGCAGCCGGCAGGGAGTGGAGGTGTGGCTCCGGAGGTTGGGGAGGAGGCTGGGGAAAGGCAGAGGCCGGCTGAGAAGTCAGATGAGGACCCAGGCCCATCCCCTATCTATCCAAGGGCACGCAGGGAGGAGAAGATAAGGGAGAGACGTGGTCTACTCGGGAGGAGAGGGCTTTGATCCTCTTCATGGGCTGCAGCTGTGACAACTGAATGAGAGTATGGACCTGCGTACGGGCGAATGCTGGAAACAAAGCGTGGAAATATCTCTAGTTTATGGTTCCTCTCTGAGTTTGGCGTCCTTCCCAGTGTATGTTATGGGTGGACGTCCTCCAGCCCTTATCTTGCCTGGTTTGTGTTGCTTTTTTCCTTCTTCTTGTAACTGTTTGTGTGGGAATTTTTCAGCTTGGAAGAAAGTGAAGGAATAAAAGGGGCTTCACCTGTTTTCTGTGACTGTGTTTGTTTTGTATCCCACCCTGGGTCATCACAGACTTCATCCAGCCACCTCATTCTCTGTCATCCCTTTCTTCTATTGCCCTAATCTTTCCCAGCATTAGGCTCTTTTCCAGTGAGTCCCATGGACAGCACCAAAAGGCAAAAAAAGAAAAAAAGGATGGGTAAGGAAGGGTATTTAAAGTTTTTAGAGACCAGCCTTTATGCCTCAATATCAACACCTCCATAGGATAAAAGAACTGGAGGAAGCATATGAGCAAAGATACACTACAGGTAGTCCTCGACATGTAACAGTTCAATTAGTGACCATTCAAAGTTATGACAGCACTGAAAAAATGTGACATGACCATTTTTCACACTTATGATTATTGCAGCGATCACCTTTGCAATTTTCTGACAAGCAAAGTCAACAACTGTGGCAATTAAGGTTATAAAATGGGACAAAATTCACTTAACAACTGTCTCACTTAGCAACATAAATTTTGGTCTCAATTGTGGTCATAAGTCAAGGACTACCTGTATTTTGGAAAGCTCTCTTGCCATTTCTTTTTAAAAAACTGAGCTGGCTGTTATTATTATGTCCCTGGAGGCTCCTTGTAGCTTCCTGTGTCATTTGTGGTTTCAATATTTTTTCTCTCCAGTGAATATACACAACTGCCACGTATCTTAAGGTGTGGCATCAGCCCATACCTGCCATAACTTTCCTTTGCATCTCCTAGCACCGTTACTTGCTTAAAATCTATGTTTTTTTTAAATCCACTAATATGCAAAAGATGGTCTGGTAAATCTAATCTCTGCCACTCTTAAAAATCCATTATTTGGGGAAACAAGAAGCCTACTCTTGCTCATAATTGTTAAGGAATAGAATACTTCAGCTATTCAACTAATTAAATCATGAAATAGCTACCTAGATTTTAGACTAGCTTAGGGTTGCAAAAATAGTCTCCACAATTTGTTGTTGGTTCAGAAAAGTAGGTGAATTGGAAAAACCATAATTCAATTAACCATGAGTTAAACCATAGATAAGTAAGATACACCGCATTCCTAAGACCTCACCCCATTCCTAAGAGGTCTGTAAGGGGTGTGCATAAGTACACCATCGTACCTATTATCTTGTAAGTGATTGACAAATCAAATCAAATCAATAAATAAAATAAATATCCGAAAAGGGTAGACCCTGTATTGCAGGAAAAATGTTAGGAAGGAGAAAAAATAAGATTAAACACAACTTTTGAACTGCAGCAAAAAATGCTACAGCGAGAAGAGAGGAAGGAATAAAAGTGTATTAATCAACTCACCAGAAACGGAGAAGATGCTCAAGGAAATTATTAAGAGCCAAAAGGAAAATCTAGCCATCTTTAGCTCAGGGCTCTGGGCCTTTCTTCAGATCTAATGCTGTTTTTTTGCCCTACCATAAATTCAGCGGGACAAACATCAGAGTTCCGGGAAGGCCTTTCTTTTATCAATCCCAGTGATGTCCTTGACGTCAGCATTTTGCAGCAAAACAAAGAGATAAATGATACTCCCTGTTATTTGTTTTGGCCCAGAAACCTTTGGGAAGGAACCACACTTGAAATCTCCTTGAAAGTGAACTTTGAGAAAATCGTTTGCTTTTAATTTGAACTCGCCCCCTTTGAAGACATTCCTGCAGAGATATCACCAGAAGGGGAGGGGGAACAGGGACTCGAATTAGTTTTCTTTCCCTCCAATGATCCCTTTTAGATCAGGGGTGTCCAATCTCAACAACTTTAAGACTTGTAGACTTCAACTCCCAGAATTCTCCCAGAATTCCCACAATCCTGGCTAGGGAATTCTGGGAGTTGAAGTCCAGAAGTCTTAAAGCTGCCGTGGTTGGACACCCCTGCTTCAGATGGAGACACGGATGAGACAGTGCAGATTCTTCTAAAATGTATTATAAAGAAAGGCCTTGCTTGGCCCTAGGATCAGACTGATCCATGCACATGGAATGAACCTTATCAAGTACAAAGTTCCTCCATGAGGAAACAGAAACAAAAATGTGAAAGCTATCTATTTATTTAATCAATTTATCTGACTGCTTGTCTGGCAAACACAATTCCTGGCAGCTAACATGTAAAAACAATCTATGTGAGTATGCACTGATATCTTGCCTTCATTCTTTTTATAAATAACTCAAGCCAGTGAATATATATATAAATCTTTCCTCCTCCTATTTTCCCCACAATAACAACCCTGTGAGGTGGGCTGGACTGAGAGTGAGTGACTGGTCCAAAGTCACCCAACCGCCTTTCATATCTCAGTTCGGACTAGAACTCCTAGCCTCCTGGTTTGTAGTCTGGTGCCTTAAATACTAGAGAAATACTAAATATTAATAATGAAAGAATGGCAGTGTAACAATGGTTCCTCCACACAGATTAATTCCCTCTAAAGAACAGACAGAGACCTGCTGATTCTCAAGGCCTGGAGGATATCCAGCTCTTCAAAACTTACAAAATATGTTGGGTAAGAGAAACTGGTTTGGAGAGATCGCTTGCGATACCGATCTTGGAATCATTCTTGGTTATCAACTAAATGTGAATCAATTGTGAAATGTGGTTGGCATAATGACAAAAGCAATCTTAGACTGTCTCAACCCCCCAAAACCTCCACATCACAGGAACTAATCATTGCATTTTATTTTGCAGTAATTAGTCCTCAAGGCAGGGGTGATGTCCAGTTCTGAACATTATAATTTTAAAAGGCTTCGGACACACAAATAGCACCAGGGAAGGACAATTAAGACGCTTGGGAGAAAGCTGTCCACAGGATCTGGTCAGAAAAATAAAATAAAAAATGATGTGGTTGATGGACATAGAAACAGTCTGAGCTATCTTGATTATTATTATTTTTTTACTATCCTCCATGGTTATCCCTGATCAGGAGTCTAGAAAGTAAACCAGACCATAGAGGTAATTTCCTCTAGTGATTAAGGATCTAGGGCTTGAGACCAGGAGACTGTAAGTTCTAGTCTCACCTTTGGCATGAAAGCCAGCTGGGTGATGCTAGCTAGGCACTCTTTCCCACCTCACAGGGTTGTTGTTGTCAAGAAATAGGAAGAGAAGGAAGTATTAGGTATTTTGCTGTCTTGAGTTCTTTATAGTAGTACAAAGACAGAATATAAAATGAAAAATAAATAAAAACCAAATGGAAGCATCTAGGAATGTTCTTGATAAAGAATGGTTTGAAAGGAGATATGATACTTCCTGAAAACTAAAGCGTTAAAACTAAAGCTAAAGTGTTGGGAGAAGTTACTCCAATTTAATTGATTCAGCAACCAATTCTTGGGGATATTTTTGTTTGCACAACTCTGATGTCTAAAAGCTCTTCTGATCAAGTTTCATTTCCTTTTGTGTATGGGTGAATGAGAATTCCAATTCAAAGTTTGTGACAAGGATGAACACCACCCAAGATTGATGATTAAAGTCAGAACAAATATTTATTGTACTTCCATTTCTAAAGAAATAAACCTCAACCCTAGAATTACTGCCTAAAGAACAGTACTGTGAGACTCAAAAGTTGCTGAGCTAAAAAGACTCAGAGATGCTTACAGAAGATTCTTGACGTTTACCATGATCTACAGAGATGGAAATGTTGTTTCACAACTTTCTTCCTCAGAATGCTTCCATTATATTCTTATGGTGGATATTAATCCTAAATAAAACGTTGTGAAGAAGTAAATTGGCCAAGTCTTTATTGGCCAAGTGTGATTGAACAGACAAGGATTTTGTCTCCGGTGCATAAATTCTCAGTGTGCATACAAACAACAAAGTGATAAATTGTAAATCATAATCCCAAGATACAATAATAAATCATAAGATGCAACCAACAAAGTGATAATCATGTTACCAATAGGAATGAGTAATAGGAAAGAGGAGAAGAATCATAGCAATACAGCCCTACTACATGGGTTAATATCTTAGGCATAAGACAGTGCTGTAGGAATACTGGTAGATATTCAGCAGAGTGATGGCATCTGGGCAAAAACTGTCTTTGTGTCTAGATGTTTTGGCCTGCAATGCCCTATAGTGGTATCCAGAGGGGAGGAGTTGAAACAGTTTATGTCCAGGATGTGAGGGGTCTATAGATATTTTCTCAGCCCTTTTTTTGGCTCGTGCAGGATATAGATCCTCAATGGAAGGCAGGCTGGTTGCAATTGTTTCTTCTGCAGTCCTAACTATCAGTTGAAGTCTGTACCAGTCCTGTTTGGTTGCGGTACCAAACCAGACAGTTATAGAAGTACAAATAACAAATGTGATAATTCTTCTGTAGAACAGTATCAGCAGTTCCTGGGGCAGTCTGAGCTTTCTGAGTTGACGTAGGAAGACATTGGCAAAGGAAGAAACCCTTTGTGACTTCATCAGGATTACATTTTCCATTGCATTTTCCATGACAGAAATTTACTCAAATATATTTTCTTCAAACAAGGATTTAAGAAAAATCTCACCAAAATAAAAAAATCTCTTTTGAGCTTTGCTACCAATCCATAGCTGACTTGTAAAGCAAAAGAGACCCAAGTTTATACAATCAGTTACTACTTCTACACTGAGTAGACATTATAGGCGGAGAGTTGGGTCATGAAATCAGGGGGTAGATCATTAATGAGACATCCAACCTAGAATTAAGGAGAAATTTCCTGACAGTGAAAACAATCAGTGGAGCAGCTTGTCTCCAGAAGTTGTGTGTGCTCCATCATTGGAGAGTTTCAAGAAGAGATTGGACAATCATTTGTCTGGAATAGTATAGGGTCTCCAGCTTGAGCAGGGGGGTTAACAGATAACAGATAATCAAAATTTATAGGTAATCTAATCCAACCCCTTGCCCAAGTGGGAGACCCTACACCATTTCTGACAGATGGGAGTCGAATCTCTTCTTGAAGGTCTCAAGTGATGGCGCTCCCACAACTTCCGAGGGCAAGTTGTTCCATTGGTTGATTGTTCTCACTGTCAGAAAGTTTCTCCTTATTTTCAGGTTAAAATCTCTCCTTGTTCAGTTTCCATCCATTATTCCTTGTCTGGCCTACAGGCGCTTTAGAAAATAGGTTGACCCCTTCCTCCCTGTGGCAGTCCCTCAGATATTGCAACACTGCTATCCTGTCTCCCCTGGTCCTTCTCTTTATTAGACTAGCCATACCCAGTTCCTGTAACCGTTCTTCGTATGTTTTAGCCTCCAGTCCCCTAATCATTCTGGTTGCTCTTCTCTTACTTTTTCTAGAGTCTCAACATCTTTTTTATAATGTGGTGACCAAAACTGGATGCAGTACTCTAGGTGTGGCCTTACTAAGGCTGATAGGTTGTTATTCTATGTTAAAAGTTTCTGCCTCTCAATAACATTTGTCAATTGAAAAAAAGGTGCTATAGACTCCTCCTGATTTATTCTACTCTGTGTCACTAGATGGTGCTCATCCTTTGTCTGCCAGACCTGACTACAAATTTCTGAAGAAAATTGTAAAGAAAACAAGATTCCATGTGGCATCACCTCCTGGCTTCTGAGTTACTGAATTACTGGGAAGATCTCATATGTGGAATAATTTCTCAGACTGATTTATAGTTTTAGGTGCCTGGCAGACCCCTTTGGTCTTTATAGGGAAATGGAACTTCCATGTACAAAAGCATTCTACCTCTGAGTCAGACGTGCCAGGGACCAAGAGTAGAGGAAAAACTTTGCTGAATACGCATCGATTTATTGTCCTGGGTTCGATCCAGTCCCTTTGCTATCAATTTGGGTGAATGGCTCCTTTACAAGCAGTCCTTGTTTAGTAACCACAATTGGGACCAGCAACACAGTCATTAAGCAAAGCAGGCGCTAAGTGAAACTGCAGCTGTAATTATCATCTTACTTTTGCGTTCCTTTGATTTATAAGCCTGTGAAGGTTGTTAACATCAGGACTGGGTGCCAAGTTTTTTTCCCCCCCATCACTGTGGTAACTGTGAATGGTCACTAAATTAGATAGTTGCTAAATAAGGACTACTGATAATTTTACTGAACTAGCTCAGGTCAAGCTAACAGGGTCTTGGAGAGGATTGCAAATCCAAAAATCTAAATTTGAAAAGAAGAATGTCAAGAGCCGGTGATCTTTAGTCACAGATATTTTTGATAGAGCAAGGAATGGGTTTGGAATTTGCACCCATAGAAATGACCCCATTCTCCCCCTTACAAATGAATCAAGGCAAACAGTGGCTCTCCCCACCATCTATTCACCCTGGCTTCTTTTGAAATGTCCCAGAATGCTGGCTCCATCTTTTAAATCAATCCCGCTGTTGCTAAGCAACCAGGCTGGCCATCTTCCAGGGAAACCCGCCTGCCACACAAGACACGCCCCTTTCTCTTCCACTGGGGTTGATCTTGGTTTTAATATAAACCTTTTCCCCTGAGTTTGGTCTCAAATGCTTCATAGGACAACTGATCAAGCACATTGTTGAGAAGATGC